GAGATGTGACTATTGGTGATGACGGGGTATTGAGGATGCAGGGTCGGATTTGTGTACCCAATGTTGATGGGCTTCGGGAGTTGATTCTAGAGGAGTCCCATAGTTCACGGTATTCCATCCATCCGGGTGACGCAAAGAAGTACCAAGATTTGAGGCAGAACTATTGGTGGAGGCGGATAAAGAAGGATATATTTGGGTTTTAGCTCGGTGCCTCAATTGTTAGCAGGAAAAGTATGAGCACCAGAGACCGGGCGGGCTGCTTCAGCAGATAGAGATTCCGGAGTGGAAGTGGGAGCGGATCACCATGGACTTCGTAGTTGGACTCCCACGGACTTCAAAGAAGTTCGATTCCATTTGGGTGATTGTGGATCGGTTGTCCAAGTCCACGCATTTCATTCCTGTGTGCACTACCTATTCTTTGGAGCGGTTGGCGGAGATTTACATCTGGAGATTGTTTGTCTGCATGGTATTCCAGTTTCCATCATTTCAGACAGAGGTACTCAATTCACATCACGGTTCTGTAGGGTTATACAGTATGAGTTAGGTACTCGGGTGGAGTTGAGCACAATATTTCACCCCTCAGACGGACGGACAGTCCGAGCGCACTATTCAGATTCTTAAGGATATGCTCCGTGCGTGTGTGATGGAGTTTGGAGGTTCTTGGGATCCGTTCTTGCCACTGGCGGAGTTTGCCTACAACGACATCTATCAGTCCAGCATTCAGATGGCACCGTACGAGGTTTTGTATGGTAGGCGGTGCAGATCCCCGATGGGTTAGTTTGAACCGGGTGAGGCTAGGTTATTGGGCACAGACTTGGTTCAGGATGCTTTGGAAAAGGTTAAGGAGATTCAGGATAGACTCCGTACAGCCCAATCCAGACAGAAGAGTTACGCGGACTAGAAGGTTCGTGATGTTTCCTATATGATTGGAGAGGGGTCCTGCTTCGGGTTTCGCCTATGAAGGGCGTTATGAGATTTGGGAAGAAGGGGAAGTTGATTCCGAGGTTTATTGGTCCTTTTGAGATATTGCGTTGTGTTGGGGAGGTTGCTTATAAGCTTGCCTTACATCCCACTTCATCCGGTATTTCATGTTTCGATGCTCCGGAGGTATCACTGTGACCCATCACACGTATTGGATTTCAGTACAGTCCAGCTGGACAAGGATCTATCTTATGTTGAGGAGCCAGTGGCAATATTGGATAGGCAGGTTCGAAAGTTGAGGTCAAAGAATATTGCATCAGTGAAGGTTCAGTGGCGGGGCC